GCTGCATTATTTTTTATAATGCTGTGTGCACGCTGCATTATTTTTAATAATGCTGTGTGCTATTTTAGCCCGTATAAACATATTTACCCCTGGTAATTTCCCTACTATCAAAAAAGACCGCTCCCCGAGTGAAAACAATAGGTTATTATGACCGTCAGTAATTATATGTAGTTTAAAATACAGTTGTGAATGAAATTATACACAGTATCTTGAAACCTTTGTGTGTGTGAGTTAATTTCATATTTATTTTTTGGGATATATCTATATTTCTGTTTGTCTGGAAAGGGTGGAGGAGGGGGGGTACCAATCCTGAATCATGAGAAATAATATACAGTGATCTTGAAACAACAAATTTACTATGAATCTTATATCAGTGATATGTGACTTAGGAGTCTTAAAGGCAAATAACAGTCTGTATACTGGGTGTGCGTTCACCTATTTATCAGTAAGTAAATTTCATTTTTTACATCCTGAAACCAAAAATCACCATATTATGCATGAATTACATATCACTTTTACTTGTCACAGAGTGAACATACCAAATTCAAACAACATTCACACTGTTTCTAGATGAAATAATCAACCGATATTTTGGGCAAACAATATAATTCAGGAGGGGAAAAAATAAATATTTATATGTGTGCACATAGTTTCAAAATCAGCTAACAGGATTGAAACCAGCTTTCCCAGTTATGCTTGGAGCTGATGAGAACAGCTAGTTTTGAACACAAAATGGCATGGGACTTAATTTATCTAGGTGGCAATATATTGCCTTCTCACCATCACAATTGATCTAGTCATACACATTCATTACTGCCAATCTCTATTATTTATGTCTCATTACAAATACAATATATTTTTTATCATTATCAGCAGTATCATTACAACTTGTGCATCACCAATATCATCACAACTTGTATTTCACTACCATCATCATCATTATTCTCACCATTCTAATTTTATTAGTCAATCAGAATGAATAAAAAATTTCCTATTTTACACCACTCATATATTTATACTTATAAATTGCCCAAGGTCATGGCCATTTCACATCACTCCAGGATCTGAATACCATGCAATCACCTTTTCGATATAATATTAAAAGAGAAACAAACGACAAATGTCTTACTGGCACACTGGAATATCATAATTGCCATAAAATAACTGTCATTTGAAACCACATTCTGCTGTAACAGCACAACTGCTCAAGGTTGCAAGGTAAATAATAGAGATGTAGTAAGGCCAGTATTACTGGTAATTGTCTTTTTACATTTTGCTCACAACCAAAGTCCAATTATATGGAGCAAAAGTTAAAATATTCAGCCACTTTTTATTACTCACTTAACCTTACACTTGACAAGTAAAATTGTCTGGTGTTGGACAGAGAAAAATAACAAAGTATGCCATATTTGATTATCCCATATCCCCATTCAGGGCCGTAGCGAGGGGGGTATTGGGGGGGGGGGTGGTTAACCCCCCCAACTTTTTTAGAATTAACATATTCGGAAAATCAGGTTGGTCATTCGGAAAATTATGGAGGTAATAGTATAACAAAATTTTAGATACTGATTTCCAAAATCACGGCATTTACATGGATAACATTTAGCAAATCGTAGATCGGTAAATGTTTTTCGGTTTATTACTTCCCAGGGCCGTGGAAATGGTGGGGGGGGAGGGGGAAGCCCTTAATATATCTTATTTTAAGCGGCTACATTACCCATGACAAACCGCAAAGAATCATATTACCCATATACCCCTTCGCCCATTTAGTTCTTCTAAATTGTAAGCAAATTAATTGTAAATTTCGACGTGCTAAAACTCTGTTTTTTGACCATCAGAATTCTGTCAAAACTTCCCCCAAAGTCCACGAAATGGCTTTTAAGAGACTCTAAATTTAAAAATTTCCTCGGGCCTTCGGTCCTCGCCACCCCCTTATAAAAAAGAACTTCCTACGGAACTGCATGCTTCTGTAATATGTCTGTGCGTAAAATACGAGTATTTTTGTTTGTAAATTGCGTTTTCATTTTCCGGATAGCAAACACCTTTGTGGCTTCGTATGCCATGAAATATTCGGAAATTTCTTTCGTCATTCGGAAATTTTTGGCCTACACCCCCCCCCCCCAACTATGCATGCTTAGCTACGGCCCTGTCCCCATTATTATAGTGTGACCACACAAGACTCTCCCTAATTGGATGGGTAAAATTGGGGGCAGGGATGGCGGAAGTTGCTGGGGGCAAGGGGTGCAATTGGTTAACAAGAGGGCATATTCCTTAACAAAAGGGCATATTCCTTAACAAGAGGGCATATTCCTTAACAAAAGGGCACTAATGAAAATGAAAGGGCATCTAAAAATTATTTTTGGCGACCTCCCCCCCCGTCGCGAAAATTTTTTGGTCAGTGTACCATTTTAGGGGTAAAAAAATTTTTACGAACATACCACAATTTTTCCTAAATACGAAAAAAATTTTCCGGACATACCGAAAATTTTTCCGGAAAATGTTATTTTTTCCGGAAATTAAAACATTTTTCCGGAAATAACATAGATTAAATTTTTCAAAAATGCCCTTTGTGCAAAAAATGCAATTTTTCATGAAAATTTTTCACGCAAAAAGGGTACTTTGTGCACCCGTTGCACCCGTATTCTGCACCCGTAGTGCACCCGTAAAGTTGTGAAGACAAAAGGCAACGGGTGCAACTGCACCCGCTGCACCCGTGGTTCCGGCATCCCTGATTGGGGCCTATGGAGATTTAATGGCAAGAAGTGGGGGAAACATTTTCTCCAGTAAAATTTATGAGGGCCATTGGAATTTTATGGGGGGCATTGGAATCATCAACCAGAGTATTGAGGCGATAAAGAAAAGAATAACTGACTGTAAAATTAATGTAATCTAACTTTCTTGTCACACAAAGTTAGGTAACGTTGGCATTTTCACACTTTTCTATTATTATCGTACTATTCTGTTAAGTATTTATTGGATGAGTCAGAGACCAATGGATTGGTATGAGCTAGGGCAGTTAATTTGTAATTTTTGCATGTATTCATTTATTAACTTTTGACTACTGTAATAGTCAGCCAGTTAAATAAGTATTTTACTGAGGGTACTGCCTAATGATTTTACATGCCAAAGATAACTCCAGTTATGAAAGATTGAATATTTTCTGAGCAAGCTGGAACAGAAAATTTTGATTTTAGTGAATTCCTAAGTGAAGGTCTGAAGGGTGGAGATAACAAAAAAATATATCAGGCATAAAGGAGGGTTTATATCCAAAAGCGATGGAGGAGTAATTAAACGAAGAAAACTAATTATAAAAACAGACAGCCACGAATCTGCTGGAATTTAGGGTATATAAACTGATAAATATTAAAAGGTATGAGAATATAATTTTATATATGCATCATAAAATCGTTTACCTCGAATATATTAAAGCGTAATTCAAAATCCATGTGACTTCAAAGTTTATAATTTCCATCAAATAAAAACAAGCCTAAAATCTGCTGTCTGTTGTTTTAAAATATGAATTTTCAAACAATTGTTATACATTCATATTTTAAAAATCAAAGGCAAAATCATTTGTATTTGAAACTTTTATAGTTCGTGCATTGCAATTTACAATGTTCAGTTGTTCATCCCCCCCGGGATAACATGACCTAAACAAAGGCCAGGTTACTAATGTCCACTATTTTTGGAGTCACATGACCAGTGTTTACCAGGGCCTTTGCTTCCCGTACCAGAGCCTCTGAACCGCGCAAAGGCCCTGGGTACGAGGTTAGGTAATTGTTTTTCGCGCTTTGTAACCAGGCCTTATTTCCATTATTGGGGCGGGGCAAAGGACGACAACAAAAAGTAAATTTTGCATCGAGGATAAGGTATTGACTATGCTATAATATCAGAGAAATAGGCTGAGTTATGTACCGTATAATTAGTACGTACTGTACTTGTTATTCCTTTGAGTAGCCGGGGATTTGATAACAGAGAGTTAATTACAATGTTTACAATTGTCGATATTTCGGCATATTAATATTAACAAGCACATCGGTCGATCTAGAAATATATTTTCTTGTATCTGATGTTTACCGCGACGTGTTACTTCATGGGTCCATACGTACGTAGTAATACGTACGTAGTAATATTGTATTGAAGTATATAAACTATAGACCACCGTCTTAATATTAAACGCCTTGAAGTTGTTTTTAATCTCTTTTCGCATGGTCGGCAGATCAGGCGAGGAAGTTCATCGTCACAAGAAAGTTTGCAACGGTAGATTGTTTCGGCCATAACAAGCAATTGGATATTGGCTTTGTTTTACAAGTTCTTTAAATACTTGGCTTCGCAAACACTTCGACAACTTTAGTCGACATGTATTGGATGGCACACTACACGATTTGTTATCCTTTTAGGAGTTTCTTAATTTCACATTAGCCCTTGAGATTACAATATCTTTTTGGTAACGATAAAAGTGCGCTGATAGGCGTGCCTTTGCTTTCGTTTATTTTTACATTTGAAAGCATCGACAATAATTTCCTTGTCACTCCTCCGTGAGTTTTCTTAAAACGCTAATTGAAAACACCCCAGATTTTGTGATGTCACGTGACCAGTTCTATGGTGTCCGAGGAGAAACATTGTGTTTTTCTTATTATTTTTTGTTTATATATATTTTTATATTTATATTCACCTTAATATTTTTATTTTTCATTTTAAATTTGGTTTTTTTTGTTTTGATTTTATGCTTTTTTCATTTCATTCCAAATTAAATTTTTAAAATAAAAAAATCGCATGTCCGAGAAGAGACTCTGGCGAAATAACACTGACAACTTACACATGATTCGCGGGCGCATTTGCTCCACGCCATAATTCAAACACAGGGTTGATAGGTTTGCTGAATATTTAGGCCAAACACCGTCACACTAGGCCTTTGTTTCCTTTGTCTTGGCCTTTTGTTTTCTTTGTTTTCTAAACGGCACTAATGACGATTTGGTCTAATTATTCATCTAACTTACCAACCCTGTTCAAACATGGCTGACATGTGGAAAAGTGATTCCGATCTGAAAGTTCTACTTGAAAGTTTAGTGAAGAGAGGATATCAACAAACAGAAATTCTACACAAAATAAAAAAGACTTTCCCCATTACACGGCATTTTGACATAAACTATATCAAATATGATACTCCCGTAGAAGATGTACGAAATGTGGTCTGTGAAGAATAGACCTTTCCCCTTTTAAGTGAGATTTTGATCAAGACAACCCTTGAAAAAAATTTCATCACAGCTTGAAAAAGCATCACAAAATTAGTAATATTCCAAAGTTTCGTTGCGAAATGTTGTAAAATGCGGATAATATAGCCTTGCGAAGTTTGCCGTTTTTCAGTCATTTTGTATTACAAATGGGAAATTTATAATCAGTTTGATCATCTGATTATCAATTTCCCGTTTGTAATGCAAAATGACTGAAAAACGGCAAACTTCGCAAGGCTATATATATTATCCGCATTTTACAACATTTCGCAACGAAACTTTGGAATATTACTAATTTTGTGATGCTCTTTCAAGCTATGATGAAATTTTGTCCAGGCATATCTAGATAAAAATTTCACTCATATTAAGGGGAAAGGTCTATTTAAGCCAACTCACTGCTATTAGTTGGTTGGGCGAAGAAACAATACACACGTGACGATGAACCGACCATTTTTTTTTGCATAAACCAAGATAAAAACATCCCACTTTAATACGAACCTTTGACATTTTGGTGTAAGCGTCCTTAGTCAAGCACTTTGCCATCCAGTTATTATGCGAGCTCAGATTCGGAAAATTGTCCACGTCGTCGTCAGTTGACTTGGCCCCAGTCTTAAGTTTCTTAACCGCTTCATCGATGTTCTTTTTTTGTTCCAACGCCTTTTCGAACTGAACGAGCGAGTTCACGCCATCGATGACATTTTGAACGAGTTCCACTTCGGAATAACCAATCCTGTCCAAGTTTGAGATGTCGAACGTCGCATCTGTGGATTCCGTATCGACTCCCCCCGTTCCGCGTTTTTGTAGCCGTAGTTTTGCGAGGATTTCGCTGAACTTCGGGTGTACGCTCAGGAGGGGGAGTTTGATATGTACACCCGCTCGCAGGCCTGTTCCAAGATTGCTGGGACACGTTAGGACGAATCCCAAATGCTCGTTCCACATGAATTCGCGACCTTTAGATTTGATTGCTGTCTCAACCTGTCGAAGAGTGATGAAATTAAACATTGTTTCCTAGCCATGTTTCCCAAAGGTGGGTAAACCAGGAAACATTGTTTCCTAGTCATGTTTCCCAAAGGTGGACAAATCAGGAAACATTGTTTCCTAGCCATGTTACCCAAAGGTGGACAAACCAGGAAACATTGTTTCCTAGTCATGTTACCCAAAGGTGGACAAACCAGGAAACATTGTTTCCTAGCCATGTTACCCAAAGGTGAACAAACCAGGAAACATTGTTTCCTAGCCATGTTACCGAAAAGGTGGACAAACCAGGAAACATTCTCCCCTGCACTAGGAAAAATCTCACATCTTGTAGCAAGTCTGCCAAAAAGCCGTCGACAAGTTGTGTTCGCACTGCTTGTCCCAAGTTGTCAACAAGTTTGGAACAAGCTGTTAACAACTTGTAACAAGCTTGTTGATATTATCAGGCTTGTAGCAAGGTTGTTTCAACAAGTCTGATACAGTCATGATATAACAATATTGTACAAGTTGATTAAACAGCTTGTAAAAAGCTTGTTGATATTATCAGACTTGTAGCAAGGTTGTTCCAACAAGTCCGATACAGTCATGATATAACAATATTGTACAAGTTGATCAACTTTGATTAAACAGCTTGTAACAAGCTTGTTGATATTATCAGACTTGTAGCAAGGTTGTTCCAACAAGTCCGATACAGTCATGATATAACAGTATTGTTGCAACCTTGTGTCGTCAACCTTGTAACCTTCTTGTTACAGTATATCATGAATGTATCAGACTTGTTAGAACAACCTTGTAACAAGTTTGATAATGCCAACAAGCTTGTTACAAGTTGTTGACAGCTTGTTCCAAACCTTTTACAACAACTGGGAACAGATTTGTAACAACTTGTGCGTTTTACGTATGTAGCCAAGGTTCATGATGTAACAAGAATGTTACAAGGTTGACGACACAAGGTTGTAAGAATATTGTTATATCATGATTCATGACAGAATCAGACTTGTTGAAACAACCTTACAACAAGTCTGATAATATCAACAAGATTGTTACAAGTCGTTAACAGCTTGATCGAAACTTTGGACAAGCAATGCGAACACAATTTGTTGGCAGACTTGCTACAGGATGTGAGATTTTTGCGTGTGTACTACCTACACTGGACCCCAATGTTTGAGCAACTATACCTTATTCAAGCCCTCGCAAAATCGTTGAAATACATCCTTCATTTTCCCGCTTGTTTCCATGGAGATAACACGCGTATGATCCTCCTCGTTGATCCAAACCAGGAAATTCTTAGCGTCATTGTGAAATATTCCGCGCGCGTCTGGCCAGTCACGTGCCATGCCTGCTGACGTAAGCAGTGGTGATACCGGTTTGTCAAACAGGAAATGGTCTGCGATGAGTTGTTCCTGGTCCTTTTCACTCATGCTCTTCAGAGGGTAGTATTTGCCTAGAGAATATAGCGATAGTATTTTCTTGTCAATGTAGGGGACATTAGTTTCCAAGCCATGTTTCCCAAAGGTGGACAAACCAGGAAACATTGTTTCCTAGCCATGTTTCCCGAAGGTGGACAAACCAGGAAACATTGTTTTCTACTAGCCATGTTTCCCAAAGGTGGACAAACCAGGAAACATTGTTTCCTAGCCATGTTTCTCAAAGGTGGACAAACCAGGAAACATTGTTTCCTAGCGATGTTTCCCGAAGATGGTCAAACCATAACCATTTTACCGCCTCGAAGGAATTTCGCGCGCCGGTTACTGACCTTTGTATATGCCGTCGAGATTTTTCAAAGCATCAGAAACGACTTTCTCAATTTCCCGCCTTTCAGCTCGTGTGCAATACGTCGGCAAAGCTAAACCCCGGATGCTGCGCCCAGTCCTAACGCGGCAGGATATGACGTAATTCGTGTCCAGGTCCCCGCCGCGTATCTTGGTCCAATCCAGATCAGTCTTGTGCAAGTCAGTCTTCTTGTATCCAGCGTGACGCTTTTCAATGACCGGGTCAAACAGCTCTGCAAATACCTCATAACTCTCCTCGTCGCCTGCCACGCACCTGATAGGGAGGACAAGCGGAAAATTTAGGTCGTGGTACATTGGCAGGAAGAGGTTATTTCGCTGGCCTCAGAGTGACAAAACGTAACAAAGCAACGGTTTTACTAATGCTAACCCTATTCCAAACACCAACTCTAATCCTAACCCTAACCTAACCCTAACCCTACTCCAAGTTTGCTTCTAAACCAATCTTGAAGAAAAAAGTTTTGACGAAGTGTCATTCTGAGGTCAACGAAATAGTATATACCACATTGGCACTATGCAATATTTCAAATCCGACTGCAGACTTGTTACAAGTTATTCCAACTTGTAGTGACAAGCTTGTAGCAACTTGATAAAGTAACAGCATTGCAACAACTTCTAGAGAAGCTTGCCACAAGCCTGTTGCGAACACATCTTGTTGACAAGTTGTGAGATTTTTACGTGTGGTACACATGCAAGTTGTTACAGGTCTGCAAAGAAGTTGTTACAAATCTGTTCACAAGTTGTTGACAAGTTGTGTTCGCACTGCTTGTTCCCAGTTGTTGTGACAAATTTGGAACTAGCTGTTAACAACTTGTAACAAGCTTGATGGCATTATCAGACTTGTTACAAGGTTGTTCTACAAGTCTGATACAGTCGTGACAGCTTCTTGACAAATTGTCAACGGCTTGTTGATAACTTGCTACAAGGTTGTTGAGCTCAACAGACTTGTTACAAGTTGTTCCAACAACTTGTTATCGTCCTGGAATTTTATTCAACAATTTGTCAACAAGTTGCGAGTGACAGCCTTGTAGCAACTTGATAAAATAATAGCATTGTTACAACTTGTTGACAAGCTTGCTACGAGCCTGTTGCGAACACATCTTGTTGACAAATTGTGAGTAACAAATTTGGAACAAGCTGTTAACAACTTGTAACAAGCTCGATGGCATTATCAGACTTGTTACAAGGTTGTTCTAACAAGTCTGATACAGTCATGATATAAAAAGAATGTTACAAGGTTGACGACACAAGATTGTAAAAATATTGTTATATTATGACTGTATCGGACTTGTTGGAACAATCTTGCAACAAGTCTGATAATTGTTATGGTGCGTTATATATGCGTCAAATACCTTTCAGATTCAAATAGTATTAACGCCACCGTAACACAAATAGCATGAAACCTTATACCTTTTATATAATTTTATTTATTTTCAACCATACGAATTAGCGTCTCTATAATATTATAATATAGTATTCTTAATATATCAACTTATATCTCTCTATTTGTCTGAGCTGAGCACAACTTTGAATCTTTATTCTTTATATACTTCGTATTCCGTCTTCTTTACTTGACGAGGCTTAACTATATTTAGCCTTTTTATTATATACTTCAGCCTTTGTTGGCCTATGAAGTATTTTTGCCTAAATGGCTCTTCTCACTTCACACCCCCTCGCTCAGCTTTTATAATAAATTTTAGAGGAAGAAATCTATAATATGACTAATTTCCTCAAAACGCAATATGTTTGTCAAAGCAAGTTCTAGCAGTGTTTATCAACCACAAAACCATGTCCTGTTAGCGTGGTTTGTGGTACTAGGCGTTTCCCGTGGTTCTTTAATCTTTCTAAGTATTTGCTTACTCATGCGAGGAAGGTTACCTAAGGTCTTCCTCTTATAATTATAACAGTCTGAATATATAGTATTGAATATATTAAATAACATGGTATAACAATGCCATGTTCACATAATATCAACAAGATTGTTACAAGTTGTTAACAGCTTGTTTCAAACTTGTTGAGGGACGGCTTGTTGGCAGACTTGTTAGAAGATGTGATATTGTTACGTGTGTATAGCACAAGTAAGGAAAAAGTGCACACTTACCCAACAATTGTGATAAAAGGATGCCCAGGATTGTCCACTCCAGTCTGAATGCATTCATCTAATGTGTAACCGCCAGGAGTTGATTTGTTGCAAAGTCTTTGGTATACTGCTGGCGTTAGACATTTTGCCATCCAGTTATTATGCTTTGAGAGGTCAGGAAAATTTGAACAGTCTCTACAAAAGAAGAGAAAATATATTTCATTTCTCGAAGGTTTGGAAAACGATAAATATAACTGGTGAAATACTTTCTAATGGAATATTTTTGTGATATTTTACCCGTCGCACCAAGATTATAGGTAAAGCCCGGTTTCCATATGGTCGTAACGGTCGTAAAGAATGAATCACGATCTTTCTCATCAGCCGAAATACAACATTTTAAAACTGAAAATACATGGAGTGATTATAACTAGAGAATACTTATGATTTATATGTGGTTTACAGGTATAAACTATTATAAACTGGCCTTTGAAAAAGATCGTGACTCTATAAGGCTTCATATAAAACATATTGAAGTAGGGTAACCCGCTTGCTAGGGTAACCCTTCTGCTAGGGTCACCCTACCTCCATGTAAACCGGCCCTTAATCTGACACAGCCTGCCTCGATGCTTGCTAAAAAGACTTCAGGCAACCAAGCATTGTTCTGGCACAGCATGCCTTATGAAATCGTGTCGGAATGTTGCATGGGGAAATTCTATAAGCTTTGAAGAGATTTGCATGTACGAAATGCTTGAACTGACTCAGTGTTTAACATTGAATCGGTTCCGGCTCTGTCACGATTGACGGATTGAGCCTCTCATTCTTACAAGTCCTTCGAAACGTAGATTTTATACCCATGCAAAATTCCCACTGTGATCACAGATACTTTGACAGTGACAAACATGCAGCCTGTACACTGGTTAAGGTTACAGAACACCTTTGAGTGTTAATTTTGCCTAAAAAAATTTTATTCGTTTTCATCAAAGCATTAGACTAGTTCTACTATATGACCAAGTTTGGACGAAAAATGTTGAAAACTCGCTGAGTTATTTAATAAAATACATTTCGCTGCAATAAGAAAAACATTGAAAATGTAATATTCATTTTCTCCCAAAGAATTTCATACGGCAATTACTGATTTTCAAACGAGTTGTTCTCCGGCGGGTTTTAACGGATTTTTCTCAAATTTTCACAGGACCGATAGCTAAAGTCGTCAGTTTCAAAATTGTGTCCGGCTTTTTTCTAATTTTGGATATTTTAATAATAAGAAGTAATTCACTCAAACGATTCTGAAATATATTGCAGTCGTCAAAGAAATCGCCATTTCAGCGGAATGACAAAATAAACAAAAATATCCGAACAAAATTTTTTAGAACAACTATTTTACTGTATAAAAATGATATTTTCATAAATATATCTTAAAACCTGCAGCAGGAACCTTAATGCTGTACATCTGCTTTCTAGTGTTGTTCAGTTGCGTTGATAAGTTAGAGCGCTGCCACCGTACTAGTGCTCCTGGTTAGGCCATATAAAATAAATTCCTTGATTCTCATCGCTAAATTTTAAAAACTCCCAGGAGGCGGGAGGTTTATATTTTATATTTTATGTCAAAATATAAAAAAAAGTTTAAAATTTAAAAAATTGGAGAGGGAAGTCTTTTTATATTTGCCCTTAAATATATTATAGAAGAACGCTATATAAGTGGATAATTGCACGTGCGCTAATGAACATGCATAAGGTCCACACAAATCGTTGTAATAAGGCTATAAGCCCATTTTTTCCTTCAGTATTCCAAGCATCCCTTAACATGTTGCAATATTAACGATAAAACAATTTTATATCGCAAAAAGTCCAATATAAAATATAAAAATAACTAAATCTCTGAAGATGCTCGGTCGGGCGGTAAATTTATATTTTATAACAAAATACAAAAATATATCAACGCGGAAACCAAAATATCGTCGGGCGGTGATGAGAATCAAGGAATTTATTTTATATGGCCTTAGATCTAATAAACTGTATAGAATTTCCACTTGAAGTATCCATCTACACTAAAAGCAAAATACGTCTAATACTTCGGACTGGAAAGTACGTCGCCTCGGTTATAGATACAGGGTTTATTTTAACGTGCAGTTCTACACAAAATGTGCAGTTTTAAACCCATTTGTGCAGTTCTTAAAACACAAATGTGCAGTCACCAAACTAACAAAAATAGCCTTAAAACAGTATTCTCATTTACTCGTTACCCTTGTGGATGCTCCAGAAATGCTGTCATTAATTGAGCATCACAAATATAAACGTTTTCTGGGAGAGGAGTCCAGACCCTCCTATTTTCTTCACAAATCACTTACGTGCTGGGGTAATGGAAAAGAAGGTAATTAACATTGGGGCGAGCGAAGCTCCCCAAAAGAGATTAGAGTGGGAGAACCTAATATTATAGCTTTGCTGCCTCAAATGCAAATTTAAGGTTTTTATATATTGAATATCCATGATTCCCAGTTACATGTTTTGAAACAGTTTTTGTGAGTGGTTGGGCTGAAACAAATCTTTTAAGAGCCTCTAGATTCAAATTGTCTTGGATAACACTCCCAGACCCCTTATGCAGATAAGGGTTCTTTGTGTTTCAAATATTTATTGTGTATAAAGATGTATCTTTTTACTCACCTTCCTTTGCAGTTCTTCGCCTCACAGCAACAGACTGTAGAAATTAAGAATAAGATAGTAAACTATAGAGCCTGTCGGTAGAGGCATGCGAGTTATACAAAGGTTGAGAATGGTGAGTTTGGGAAGTTTTTTGAAGCATTTCTAAGAAATGTTTGAGGGAATTGACTTGGTGTTTCAGTTAACACTGAATCAATTCCCTCAAACATTTATTTAGTCTTTATTTGCCTCTTGAAATACCCTGGTTCCAGAGGTTTATTTTTATTATTTTCATTGCGAAGGGGAGAGCAAAAACTCTTGAAAGAGCTTATCTTTAATTTATTTTGAACCAGCACCCCGTAAGTAGTAATGGTCGGTGCATGCATCATGACATCATAGAGAACAGTCCAGACGTCTCAAGCCCGCCGCACACGAGAGCAACTTGCTGAGGCGGTTAGCTCAGCAAGTTGCTCTCGTGTTGCGGATAGTTTTCGTGAGGATTTGACCTCTCGAGGCCTTGAGGAAAATATCTATCGTGTTTGATATTTTTCGCCTCGCGAGGAAAAGATCTCAGCGTCTGCGGATGTTGTGAGCTAAGTGCTGAGCTGTTTGAATCAATTAGCCAATGACAAACCATGGTTTCTTCATGTGACATGGAACAAAATGGAGGAAAATGCAAACAATTTTGTTAATTATGTTGTTGTTGAGTAGTTTTCCCAACGTGTGCGGTGAAAATACATAGCTGAGCTAGCTGCCACTCGAGGCGGTTAGCTCAGCAAGTTGCTCTCGTGTGCGGATAGTTTTCGTGAGGATTTGACCTCTCGAGGCCTTGAAGAAAATATCTATCGTGTTTGATATTTTTCGCCTCGCGAGGAAAAGATCTCAGCGTCTGCGGATGTTGTGAGCTAAGTGCTGAGCTGTTTAAATCAATTAGCGAATGACAAACCATGGTTTCTTCATGACTTGGAACAAAATGGAGGAAAATGCAAATGATTTTGTCATTTATGTCGTTGTTGAGTAGCTTTCCCAACGTGTGCGGTGAAGATACATAGCTGAGCCAGCTGCCACGCGAGGCGGTTAGCTCAGCAAGTTGCTCTCGTGTGCGGTGGGCTTTAGGTGCTGTTTATATGATCTCTGGTACTATGGACACCCCGCTACGAGCTACCCTGGGAGAGGCAAAATTATATAGTCCTTATATAACATTTAAACGCAAGTGTTTATATATGGAAAGTTTTCGACTCGTCTCGGCTGGTAGGGTCACCCTGGCGATAGGGACACCCTGTTTACGAAACAGGGTTACCCTTGTAGGAGGGACAACTTTTGTCCATGTATAAACAGTTTGCGTTGATTTGCCTCGGCCTCCAGGGGCAACTTTTCACACTTACGCATGCTCAATAGAAACGTTTTATTAAAAACAACATAAACGAACAAAAAACGAAGTATTTCGAACAAAAAACGGAGTATTCCCCCGCGTTATGCCTTTCTGAATCTTATCATATAAACGCATCGTAAAGTTGTCTCGGGGGGTAGATTGTCCCTGGTACCCGAGACCATATAAACAGCGCCTTAGCCCTTAGAATGTTGCCACTGTTGGCAATTGGCATGGGTATAAAGCTGTGAAAATCATGTAAATAACGATTCATAACGTAGGCACGTATAGCAGTACGAACAATTACGTCTTTCCGGTGTAGTGGAGTGGGCAAGGTCAAGGGGATATAATTTGTTAGTCGGCTTTGTCTTAGAGTACGTAAATATATATATAAGCCCAGGCTTATAGTCGGAGGTTTACGGTATTATGGAGGGCTGCTGTGTTTGCAATCTTGGATTCATCTTTGGTATGTGCTAATATTATGAGGAGCTCTTTTTAAGTTAAAATTGGTCTACAACTGCAGGGCATTCAAAGTAGCATGTTGATCTTTTTTGTTTTTGATGTTACTCTGAGTGTATATCGATCCATACCGGTGTCCCAGCAGATTTGGACCCCCTCAAAATGGACCCCCCGGTCCAAATCCGCTAGCGAATATGGACCTATGGGGGTCTTTATTCGCTAGCGGATTTGGACTCCCCTCGCGAATTTGGACCCCTCGCGAATTTGGACCCCTCGCGTATTTTATCATTGCAACGTATTGTATTTTGAATATTGTACTGAAAGCGTTTTAAATCGTCTTAAATCTTATCTGATTTATTTCAAAAACCGTACGAAGATTTTTAGATCATCAAATCTTGGATTTTTAGATCAGTTAAAGAATTCCGTCAAAGTTTATGATTTATAATTTTTCTGCTACATGCCGGTTTATTTCTATGATCTTGGAATGAGCGAGAACTGAGACTATCGCATGAAGCCATCACAAGTATATATTTTACTCCTTGGAATTGCTATCTGCTCTTAGCTGCTCGAATAAAAACGGAAAATGAAAATATATTTCAAATTATTTTTTCCTTAACATACCCATAACAAAGTGATGCATTCCATTCAACCCTAAACTTTTATAAAATTAGCATCTCAATAACTTGTTTTCGTCATTAAGCAAATTCCAAGATAGTCGAGTCATGCCATTAGTTATCATAATTTAAATTAAACTGACGCCTAAATTTCCATGCACATTCAACTGCAAATCGTTTCAAAATTTCTTCTTTTTGTGAATTTTAGGGGGTCCATATCCGCGGGTAGTCCAAATCCGCTGTGACACCGGGTAGACTGAAAAGTTAGCCTGGCATACTAGTCCAATGCTCCAACTGAGCTACGAGGCCAAGTCTGTTCGAGTGTATGGTATTTTGGAACTATAGTACCTTTGATACCAATGTGGCTATGATCATGATATTTTTGTGTGTGTTTTGATGTTATGTACTCAGCCTCAGGTGAATATAATGTTCTTGATGTTACTCTACAGTACATCAAAAACATATTCACCGGCCTGAGTACATAACATCAAAACACACACAAAAATGTTGATCTTTATCGCTGAACAAAGGGATTTCAATAATAGTTGAGCTTGGCTGATTCTTATTCAATAATTCAAATTAGTAGCTAACTCGTTGGTAAAAGGGACGGAATCATCAATTATATTAATTAATTGTCTGGGATGTCATTAAATCATTAATTAATCCACGACCTTTGTTTGCAAGGTCATTATGGGATCCACCGCGCTCAAGAGATACAGATTACTTCGTCTTTTTCGGTTTTTCCATGTCCCGTTCCGTTTAATACGAATTGAGTTAATTAATATGATCGGACTTAGACTCTTAATTGTTGGTAAATCGAAGTAAATAAACGGGACTCTAAAATAGTCATATCGAGTTTTACACCCTCTACATCGGTGATTATATCACTGTTAACACAACTACCCCTGGGGTATGTGCATATCTTAGGCACCGAACTACCATCACTCGCCTTAGTTGCACGTCGCGCTCGAATGGATTCGTCACACTTGTCGCAAATTTGTGCTTCAAGTAGTGTTCATTGCGGACAGCTTGAATCACAAGCTTTTTGGATTAAAAGTGCATGTTGTTATTTTGTATATATAACAATCCGAGTAGCTCTCTCATCCAAAATATTCGCTGTTTTCAATTTAGCGACGGCTAGCGACTGTATGGCAACTGCAGTCTCCCCATGCTGGTTTTCTGCGAAGACTTTTCAGTGATTCGCATCCTGTCACTGACAATTTGCTCAGACATTTACAGTCGTTGCTTTTTATATCTGTTAGATGTCAACTTGAAAAAATCGTAAAAGTCGTGAAAAACTGTAGCTTCGTTAAAAATCTCTAGCTTATCCAACACTTTCCGTAATGTGATTATTTCGTAAGTAACGTCTCATTCTCAATAGACTTAAACGTTTCCGCGATCACTATCTTAAGGCCGATCTGATTTACAGTACACAACTTCTGCCTAAAACTATCGCATAATGCAACCTGCTTACAACTTGAGTTGTACTGTGTAATTCAAGCGCACAACTCGGCTTCGTTTATAACGTTGTCATAGGTGAGTTCTGTTGTGTAAACTTGTGTTCTTGATTTACAGAGTACAACTCAAGTTGTAAGCAGAGTTCAATGCGACAGTTTTAGGCAAAAGTTGTCTGGTTTAAATCGGCCTATAAAAATCTTACCTGCCGTATCAGCAGAACGAGCTCTCGAATTTTTGCTGCAACCACAGCCCATTCTGATTGGAGGATAGTTGTTGGAATTTCCTTTGCGCGTTCGTTTGTCATTCAACGCGGCTCTCCTGCAGAACGAATCGCGCGAATGGAACAATTATGACGTCATCGGAATTTGATTAATTCGTATATATAATATGCGTCGTGGCTGTGAGCTCTCGATAGAACTGGAGTGATGCGTGCAATTGTTTGCCAGCCCCCTCGGCTTATGTCTTCCGCCGAACACAATGTTGTTGACGGCTTGTTGGCAGACTTACTAGAAGACGTGAGATTTTTGCGTGTATAATTAGAAAATCCAGTTTCATATTATAGAATAATATGAAACTGGTTTTTCGTATCTCTGAGGATGGTTCTGAAATATAATTTGAAAATATCAGGCAAATATCTGGTTTGTTCTATAACTATTTGTCAGTGTAGATCGCTGTTCTACTGAGAACTGACAGAACTGATGCGTCGGAATAAATTCCGCCTTTGAGCCATTTGTCCAGTTTATTATAGGTCGGTAATTTTCTATCTCGAGCCAGCGAACAAAAATCCAGCAGTGTCCATGCTAAATTTCGTACTGTCAAGCGCTTTAGCCATGAAGAATATTGAAGATTTCAATGATGTTGAATAAAAGAGAAAAATTTAATGTTTTCTTGTAAAAATCTTCGCTTTTGAAGCGAATTTATGTACTGTAGAGTTGTCTTTTGTGCTCGAGTAAAAGATCAAGCAGAATGAAGCCGAATCAGGAGACAAATGCGTCTGGGTATGTATCTATTGTTGCTTGGTGAAAAAGCAGGAAATACGGCAAATACCATCTTTGTTTATTAATCCAGGGGAGTTTCACTAGTTTTCTGCTAAAGATTTTCGTGTTATTTTATATCTGCGCCAAAATGATCGAAAATTGAAAAAGCTTGCGCTTGTAGTACAGCAGTATCGAACTTAAAAGTTTTATTTTGTGCAGGAAATCCAGACTGCAAAGTTTGGAAATTGCGCGCGGAAGATTTCCAAAATTTAATAGTAAATATATAGAAAGAAATATATAAAAAATGCGCGCGGAAGATCTTCCGCGTGCGGTGGAGAAAATGCAGTCTGGCAGGAAATATTTTTTCCTTGGGAAAAATGCGTAGAAAACTAGAAATGTTAGATATTTTCACAGAAAGTTTATGCCAGACCAAGGATCCTGCAGTCAGAAAGTGTTTTTGTCAAATACGAAGATCAGAAATCTGCTTGGTTCTTGGCTCACAAAAACATTTTGTGCATATTGAAATTCTTGGGTTAGCACTTTTTTCCATCCAGCAAACCGCCCTATCGATTTTCTAAAGGTGTTTTTTAATTTTTTTTTTATTAATTCAGTTAGGGTTGCGGTTAGGGGTTAGAGTAGGGGTAGGGTTTAGGTTAGTTACATAGCCATTTAACACTTCTTTCATCTTCCGAAAATGACGTTAGGTCAGTTCGCTGGATGGAAAATAGGGCTAACCATATTCTTGAGAAACTTCGCAGTTTTTTACAATTTGAAAAATTTTGTGCAGATTTCCATAATTGGAAGAAGTTTCGTGCACGAAAACTGATTTCCTCCAAAGCCAAAACTTTACAGACTGGTATATGTTGTACTCAGAACTTTCATAACTCATCGATCTACTACTACAAGTCATATTAAAAGTCATCTTATTGAATTATATTTGTTTACATTTTAATTTAGTTTGTCAGAGCTGCCTGGTTTTGAAAATGTAAATCTGGAAAGTATAAATGAAACTACGCTGAGCTCAGAAGACCTAGAGTCGCATAAAAAACAATTATGGTTAATCAAAGTCCCATACGAGGTAAAACTTTCATTCGCTTTTAGCTGTTGGCATTTGCATCCCTATTGAGCCTGTTTTGATTTTAAGCCCTGGGTCAACTAGGAAGTATTGTTGTGAAAACATAGTTTCCTTCCAATGTTTCGGCATGTTTCCAGAGTGGGCAAACACTAGGAAACATTAGTGAGGAACATAGAGAAACATCAAATGTTTCTGAATTTGCTAGGAAACATTTTTGCTTCTCGGGAAGCAAATTTTGTTTCCGCAACGTTTCCACGGGTGGGCAAACAGGGAAACATTTGAGGAAACATTGAGAATCAAAAATGTTTCCACAACAATGTTTCCTAGTTTGCCCAGGGCTTTAGTTGTCTTGTAAATAAAACATATATTTTTTGCTATTCCCTCTCTTTAGTTTGATGTATCAAAGTTATCAGGAACAACCGTGGTTTTGAACGGAAGTCAGGATCTTACAATTAAACAGGATGACGAGGTTAGTTGTCTTGGGCGGTCTGTACTAGTGTAGGGCAAATCTTCCCTGGGGGCCCCATGACATCATTATTTTTAAACTAGACCATAGCTAGACTTCATATGGGTGTACTGTAAGGGGCCCTCAACTTCAAAAATGCTCTGATCAATTTAAAGAACCTACTCAATTTTAGCCTCTCGCTCTCAAGTTGGGGCCCAGGGCAATTCCCCCCCCCCCTGCTTGTCACATATTATTATATATTTTTGTCTTCTTTTAGAAAAATGACAGAAGATATGAATGTCGAGCCTCGAAGTATGGCCAAAATGAGGTTGGTTTATCACAGATAATCTGATAGATTATCAGTGAGTATTTAATCCATTAGGATGCATTGTAACATAATCCACCCTACTTTATTATTTTACTTTGTCTAATGCCAGGTGATTTTACTTGTCAAGGGGAGAGCGCTGCCACTCAATGGGTTAATTTAACCAGATTATCTGCCCATGTGTCTAGTTAACCCATTAAGTTGCATTGCTTCCTACTTTATTATTTTACGCTGTCTAATGCCAGGTGATTTTACTTGTCAAGGGGAGAGTGCTGGCCCTCAATGAGTTAGCATTCATTTGCTTTTATCTTGCATTTTTTATTTCTTCACATAGTCTTGTCATTATAAAATGGTTGTACCGTCAAAGACTAAAGGTTGTCTCAATGTGGGTGAGTGTAAGCAATTGCAGGCTTTCTTGTCATCCTACTTTTCCTATTTTTCTTCAACTTTCCTACTTTTCCTATTTTTTATTAAAAATTGCTTGATTTTCCTACTTTTTCTCATAAAATCCTACTTAATTTTTTCCCTATTTGTGTCCCAGATGATAAGATCTCAGGAAGAGAAGAAGTACATTTTCTGAGTATAAAATTCCATAGCATCTCTATATATACAAATATACAATCATAATCAATAAATTAATGAAGAATCTGAAAATGCCATTTCCGACGATTTAGAGATGTCAATTGGGGCTTTGCCCTGTTTCTTTCTCCTGTTGTCACTGTAAAGCTGATAACTAATTCAATAAATTCAAATTCAATTCACACCCCCCTCAGTTATTCAAGCATCATATGCTCCTGCCACACAGTGTGGATTAATGGTGGCGCAGCCAAATACATGCACTTGCACGCATAACACATTTAATATCATTCTATAAATGTCTATATTTATTAATATCTAATTTTAAAAGTTTTGAGAAACAAATCCTGCATAGATGAATGAGCTATAAAAAAAATATTGAGCACCAAAAATTCACACAACTTCTCTATCAGATATCTAATGGTCCACCGCTTACCACATATATCCTAGGGCGCCAATTTTGTATATTTTTGTGTTATTTGCATCTCCAAAAACTCCTACTTTTGTCCTACTTTTCTACACATTTTCCTACTTTATTCCTACTTTTCCTAAAATTCTAGTCCTACTTTTATCCTACTTTTCTACACAAGGGTGCCAGAAAGCCTGCCATTGTGATATCCATTTTAGAAAAGCGAAAAAGGTTTTACTGTATATGTTAGAAGATGGTCTGGCTTAGAAAAGAGTGTAATTTCAAGCATACAAGCCACATAATTAGCCAAAAATAGGATGGCAAGGTTTATTGTTAAAATATTGGTATACAGCTCTGTAGTGTAATCCGCCTTCTAAAAGTTTATCATTCTACTATTCTCTATCACGATACAGCTAAGGATTTTTCGGGTCACATGGACATTATCCAAACAGTCAAAGTTCCCATGCTCAACTATCCCTCTGCACCACCTCCAATGTACACAGATATCCCCAAGGGACTCAAACCACGATGGAAACCGTTTGGACATCGTAAGTTGCTTTACTTTAAAAAACATTTTAACAACCGTTAAGTCGTCCCGAAAATATTTCGCTCATTCCACGTTTTTATTCCGATCAGGGACTCCACCAAAAATAAATAAACGAAAGATGGTAGAAGATGACAAAAGTCTCAAAGTCGGCGAAAAACGAAAACGAGTTGATCGGAAAAAAGGAGAAAGTCATGAAAGTCCCAAGAAAAAGAAAAAGAAGAAAAAAACGAAGAATGAGTCTGGCTATGGAAGTGCGTTACAGCTCGATGATGTAAGATATCTCAAATGTGGTGGTCCAGTGTAGGTAGTATTCTACAATAAGCTGTCGTGGTTTGTGTCTGAACTACCTGAAAAAGATATCTCAAACGTGGTGGTCCAGTGTAGGTAGTATTCTACAATAAGCTGTCGTGGCTTGTGCCTGAACTTCCTGAAAAAGATATCTCAAACGTGGTGGTCCAGTGTAGGTAGTATTCTACAATAAGCTGTCGTGGTTTGTGTCTGAACTACCTGAAAAAGATATCTCAAACGTGGTGGTTCAGTGTAGGTAGTATTTTACAATAAGCTGTTGTGGTTTGTGTC